GCAAGTAGCACAAAAATGCCAAGGACTACCTTTAGCTCTTCTAGTGGTTGCAGGACATCTCTCGAAAATTTCTACAACACGAAAATGTTGGAATGATGTTGCCAAAACTATAAGTAAAATCGTTGCTAGTGAACCAGATAAATGTCTTGGAGTGGTCGCGATGAGTTATAGTTACTTGCCCGATCACCTGAAATCAAGCTTCCTTTCTATGGCAGCTTTCCCGGAAGGTTTTGAGGTTGAAATTCATAGATTGATCCAATTATGGATTGCTGATGGTTTTCTAAGGAATGAAAGGGTCAAAAGCTTGGAAGAAATTGGAAAAGAATGGTTGGAGGATCTTATTAGTAGAAACTTAATAATGGTTATAAAACGGAGATTTAATGGCGAGATGAAAACATGTGGCGTTCATGATCTGGTGCGAGACTTGATTTTAAGACAAGCTGAAAAGGAGAAGTTTATGCAGGTTACCAGAATTCATAAAGTAATCAGAAGATTCAATGATTCAGCTTGTAAGCCTTATGTTCGTCGTTACAGTTTCCATTCAACCATTTCTCCGACTGATTGCTGGAATTCATCATCTAGTTTTACCCGAACTTTGTACTTATTCAATGGACTAAAACTTGTATCGCCCCTTTCTAAACAAGTACCTTTTTTAGCGCGCTTCAAACTTCTAAGAGTGTTGGCAATCCTTCAGTATACTTTCCGAGAATTCCCTCTCGAGTTAACAAAATTAGTACATCTCAGATATCTTGAATTCAACTGTTATGATGATCTTCACAGGTCAGTGTCCGAGCTGTATAATCTGCAAAACTTAGTTTTTGGCGGACACTCTAATTTACCAGTGGATATCTGGAAAATGAAACTTTTGAGGCATCTTCATGTAAGAAAGATTTCTTCTTTTCGTGTTCCATCGAGTAAAGAAGGGTCCGGTTTCAAGCTACAAAATCTCGAGGGACTTTCAGATATAAGTATTTCCTGTTGTACTAAGGGATTGTTTACTGGTTTTCCCAATCTAAAGAGGCTGAAAATTCATGGTGCTTGGGCAGAATGCAGGAGAGATATGATTTTCCAGACGCTAAATAACCTTTCGTGTTTAAATAAGCTTGAAATATTGAAGATAATCTGCTCTAGAAAATTATATCCGCACCCTCTCCCAAGTAAGTATGCTTTGCCTACATCTCTGAAGAGGTTGACATTAAGATGTACTTATTTACCATGGGAAGACATGGCTAATATTGTAACGCTGCCAAATCTCAAAGTGCTTAAAATTAAAGACAATGGATTTGATGGCGATGTATGGAGATTAAACAACCAAGAGAATTTCGTTCAACTTAAGTTCCTCCTAATCGACAGGACAAATCTGAAGCATTGGGACGCTGGCAGTGTTAACTTCCCAAAGCTGAAACGCCTAGTTCTGAAACGATGCTTATACCTGGAGGAAATTCCTAAAGATATTGGCGAAATTTGTACGTTGGAGTCAATAGAGTTGCATAACTGCAGAAGTTCTGTTGCAAAGTCCGTCAAAGAAATTCAAGAAGAGCAAGAGAGCATGGCGCATGATATCCTTAGTATTCGCATCCATGAGAAACCTTGTGAGAATCAAACTATCTCAAAAGAATACTTCCAAATCAGTTAGTATATATTTTTCTTTGTGTTGCTACTTTACATCCTATATATTCCAATTTGGTTGTCTGATAATGATATCTACTGTGAAACAAGGGTGAAAACAATGTGTAATAATAGTTCAGTCTTTACACATCTAATTTTTATAAGGTATTATGTATTCACAAAAGAGAACAAAAGAATGACCACACAGAGTTTGTTGCTCACTTTAATTTCTCTTCACATTTAACACTTGCAGTTGTGATTCTTTAGAATAACGGAACTTTAATATATCCCCTAAACTCTTCATATGGTTCTATGATGCTTTTAACGCCGTTGATCTGCTTCAAGGATGACGGAGTTTCTTTCCCTTGCAGGGTGGGATTAATAAATAGTTAGTTCAAGACAGCTGATCATCTGGTGCTGCGCAGAGTTCTATAGCCAGGGGCGAAGCTACACTCGGGTAAGGGTGGTCAATTACACTTTATATATAAGTAAAATATTAGGTTTTGGAGGTATGTAACATATATTCAATACACTTTGTCGGGATTTTTTTGTTTAATTCTTTCAAGTTTGAACACCCTAGAGGAAATTCTTGGCTTCGCTACTGTCTATAGCAGAAGCTTAGAAGGTGTGATCACTTGTTACTTCATCATTCTCTAGTTTATCTTCTACTGTTGCTTCAAGTTGAACTAAGGATTTTATCTCTTTTCTGCTAATTAAGTTTTTATTAGTCTTCCCCATATCTGTTTGGCAGATCGTTCTCGTGTAGAGAACTTGAGAAATCTAAGCCAAGACAGTGTTGTTCAATTTGAACTAGTAATATTTTTAACATTGGAAAGGAAGTAGTTCCTTTTGCTTAGTTGTTCCTATGTGATGTCCTAAGTTTGCTTTCCATTGTAGAGATAATGATAACCAGACTGTGAAATATCCCTCCACTTATCTTGTCTTTATCATTAGTCTTGAGTTTTTAATTGTTGTTCTTGTTTCAAGTGCTACTACTTTTATATTTGGCCATTTGGAAACATCATTCTTCTTGTTGCTAAGCTTTTCTTAGTCTTCCCCATGTCACTCTTGCTAGAGAACATGAGAAATCAAAGCCAAAGAGTGTTGAATTATGCAGTCTGAAGTAGACTTCTTTTAAAATTGGGAAACTAAAAGTATACTAAATTTTGAACACAAGCTAAGTATACAACATTAGTTAATGTATCTAAATTAACAGACGTGGCAACTTTAGGCCGTTCTCTATGTATTTCACCTAAATTTGAATATCGAATACATGTTTCACTCCAAATGACACTTGAAAATATGTTATTTAAATTTCTATCTCAAATCTAACATTTTCGTCCAAGTGAACCTTTAAATGAAATTGAAAAAACAGTTTCTTGTCAATTTGAATTTGAGTGGCATTGTAAGACAAAGGTAAAACACATCATGTCATGGTGAAAACTCAAGTTGAGACGCTGCAAGAATTTTTAATATAAATTAAATCGACGAGTTTTTGCCATCTCTAGACAGTTTGGCCGAGTGGTCTAAGGCGCCAGATTTAGGCTCTGGTCCGAAAGGGCGTGGGTT